AAAAAAAAAAAAAAAAGAAAAAGAAAAGAAAATGGGGCATGAAGTTCTTGAATATGGCCATCTGTCTAGAATACCTGACCCAAGCAGAGTACCTACCTGGTCTCTGCTGCCTGACCATTGAGACTTTTTGTGCTTCCTCTTGAGAAGAAGAGTAGACAATATAAGGAGGCTTTCCCAATATGCCCCTTGTTCACAGTGCACAAAGACGTTTGGAAGGCTGTGCATGGTGGCTCACACCTGTAATCCTAGCACTCTGGGAGGCCAAGGTGGGTGGACTGCCTGAGCTCACAGGTTCAAGACCAGCCTGAGCCAGAGCAAGACCCCATCTCTAAAAATAGCCAGGTGTTGTGGCAGGCATCTATAGTCCCAGCTACTTAGGAGGCTGAAGCAAGAGAATCACTTAAGCCCAAGAGTTTGCAGCTGCTGTGAGCTGTGATGACACAGCACTCTACTGAGGACAACAAATTGACACTCTATCTCAAAAGAAAAAAAAATGTTGGGTGCCTGTTGCTCAGTGGTTAGGGCACCAGCCACACATACCAGGCTGGTGGGTTCAAACCCAGCCCAGGCCTGCTAAAACAAACAAAAAATAGCTGGGCGTTGTGGAGGGCATCTGTAGTCCCAGCTACTAGGGAGGCTGAGGCAAGAGAATTGCTTAAGCCCAAGAGTTTGACGTTGCTGGGAGCTATGATGCCACAGCACTCTACCGAGGACAACAAACAAAACAAAAGTTTTGGAAACTGCAGTTTTCTCCCACAATGCAATTTTTCTCCACTAATCCTTTAAGGAACTGTCATAAAATGCTTAATGTTTAACAATAGCCTTACTACTACAGGACTGAACTTTGCTCCTCCAGGATTACTGAGTTACTGAGGCAAGGTGGCTTGCCTTCCAAGTCACAAGAGATTTCCAGGCTTGCCAGGAGAATGTCTTGTTCTCAGTAATTCCTCAGATGAGTTATGATATTGGTGACTGTTGTAATAAGTAGGATGTTTAATCCTCTATACAGCTTACTGCCTGCCATCTGCCTGCTGCCAGGGTTGCTCCTGCAGCAGAAGTTACTGCAGCAACAGCTCCTGGGAGCCCAGGAATTCTCCACAGGCTGCTCACAAGCTGAGAACTATGACCTGTAGGATTTGTTCAGACTGGCTTGTCCACATCACAGGGATTGAGCAAGATGTGAATAAAAAGCATCTGCCTTTTCTTCCACGTC